GGTATTATGTCTTAATTTAATTTTCCAAATGATGTTGGTAGTTTTTCTCACGAGCATCACCGATGCACTTGAATGCTACAGCGTGGGCGATTTCCTCCTCATCACTTTCATCTTCTCACTTAAACGTCATCACTTTCTGCCCTATCACCTTGATCACCTCTTTCATTATCATATCCATCCTGAACAGGCTCAAGACCAACCAACCACTCAAGTAAATCTCTTTCTACAAAGTCATAACAAGAAAATTATTATTTGATACATTATCATCTCTAAAATTAGCAAACATGTAACCTCTAAAATTATATTCTCACAACCATCCACAACTAGATACAAACAGGCATCATACTCAGCAAAATGTATAAAACAATACATACAAATAACTGAATAACAATATACCTTCAGACTCATCTGAGAACCAATGTATAAACTATACACAGTGCACATATATGTAAAAATCCATACAAACAGGATCATACTTCAGCAAAAATTTATTAAACAATTCGTTTAACTCAAAACATGTACATATGTATCACAGTGACACAGTACATATACACACACAATAGGGTCAAATTAGAGGCATTATAAACACAAGTATGACGCCATAATTTTGTACAGTGTATTTATAAAATTACAGTACAAGAATAAAAACAACAAAGCGGAAATTTGACTATAAAATAACACGATAACTGTAATGCATTGTAGTATACCAACCTTAAATACTGCGTTTGTTTTCACGTTGATGATACACGGAGATTTAACGCCATCCAACTTAGAAAGAAAAGCCTCGCTATTGGGAATATAAAATTAAACACAATTCCTTTTCTCAGACGGATTATTTATAAAGCTAAAATGACAGCACGTCCCATGCAATTTAAATTAAAAAAGGTAAACTTGATATAGTAAAACACAAGTCATAATGATGATCGCAACAATACAGCAATAACATGCTGTTTCTTTTCACAAAGTATCGCAGCCTGACACTCTTGTCGTTCGAAAGCTTCCATATTGGTTTAGTCAGAGAGATGTTCACTCCTCGACAGTCAACAGTCAATGAAGCCACGCGCGGAATTAGGCGCTCAATACCCATGATGCTTTGCGGCCTGCTGTCCAACCTCCTCTGGTTGGATAGTTGAAAAATATCCCTGGAGCCAGATTCAGGGTATTATTCAAGTATATAAGGTTCATGCCTCATTTAAGGTTAATTTAAGTAATCATTTTAATTGGTTAAAAAGTGATGGTGTTTATAAAATTTTGATTTGAAATAATAGGAAAGAACTTCACAGTCTAACACTAGTAAACATGCATCATTGGTAGCAAAAGCCTCACTTGCATTAGTTCAAAGGTCAAATTTGCATTTACAAACAAGCATATAAAATCTTGTAAATAGTGTTTACAAGCATTCCTGATATCAATCATTGAATAAAAACATGATAACCACCCCTGCTTTTTTAGCCTAATCAAATCATCTAACCTAATCAAATCATCTAACCTGCAGTAGCTGTAAATCTTGAAGGCCTGAACCTTATGTAAATAATACTCAGTATTGGGTGGCCATGCATGTAACAGAAAATGAAGTAAAATCTCAATATCTGGCCAGGCGTAAAAAAAAAATACCTGTGGTTCCGGTTCCTGACCGACCCTATTTTTTTCTGCCGACCCTATTATTTTTTCAACGCGATTGACCGTGCGACCCTATTTTCTCCAGGTGGTTGTGGGCTGCTCATACAGCGTGCCAAAATGGCATCTGTTGTCACACTAATTATTGAACCAAATTGCCTAAATTCGTCCATAGGAAATACGCATCTCTAGTTTAATAATGATGTCGGGACTGCAAATCGCCCAGCAAAAAACCGCCAAAACCATAAAAAAAATATTCAAAAAATAAAATTATTTCCGACCTACCGACCCTAATTTTTTCACGATATGAAACCGGAACCACAG